CGGGGTAAATGATCAGATAGAAAGGAAGAAAAATTGGGTAAGAGGAAAGTAGAAAATGAAGGAAGGATAGGGTAATTGAGGCAGTATTTTTCTAGTTATGTTCAGCAAGCAGCCCTGGGATCTGGCTGTTGTGGCAGAATCTGCTCATTCACCGAGTACCTGTGTAGGAAAAAGGAGATTGGTGGAAGAAGTGACCTCCAGGGGAGAAGGCTAAAGCTTGTTTTTTGTTTTCGGTGTTTGAAAGTTCAGCCGATGATGCAGCCCCTGAGTCCATTTGGAGAGGTTTGCTGATGATGGCGTTTGGCTGTCATTCAAAGCCCTGCAGTTCAAATCCACTAGCTGTGATATCACTGCAGAAGTAGATTGCACAATGTTCCTTCTGAGGAGTGGCTGGTGAGTTTGAACCACCAGCCTTCTGGTTAGCAGTCAGATGCTTTAGGCACTATGCCACCAGAGCTCCTAACTTCAGGATCATTATTTGTATGAAAGAGGGATCTGGTGTGCCATCTATTAGTAGTATGCCATCTTAACCTTCCTATAAATTTCTATATTGTTTTGACTTTACCAAAAATATGTAGCATTTACATGACAGGAACTAAGGAACTGGAAATAAGAAGGTCTAGTAATAACACAATTTTGTACTGTTTACCCATAGGTAGCAATAGTCTCTATTCCAAAAAAATCCCCCAAATATTCACTTATATTTATATACGAACATACATACAGATATGCATACATACATACACATAGAATTCAGGCAAATGAAAAGAAGGAAATCACTGAAAAAGGGAGAGGATATGGAGCATTTCACTTTAGCCTTCCACATATTAGCATGTCCATTTTTTGTTTTGGTTAAAGCTAATTCAACCAAATGGCATGACCCTTTTCTTCTTTATATCCTGGGTTGTGGCAGACTGTATACTGAGAGGCAGCATGCCACAATGAACCAAAACATGAAAAATAAACTAATGGACACATTAAATTTTTCATCAATATAAGAAATATTTAATTAATGTCTTCCATATATCAATATATGAGATGCCAGGAATATACATATTAATATGGCAAATCCATCTTCAAAGGACATGCAATCTAGAGAAAACAGAACTCATAATCAGTAAGTTGTAATAGAGCACAGTAAGACTATTATAAGGGTATGTAAACACATAAGGGGTGACTCAGGATCTCTGCATGATATTGTTCAGGGAAGGCTGACTTAAGAGTGAAATTTGAGCTTGATCTGCAAAAATGAGCTGAAGGTTTCTAGGTAGATTAGTGTTGTCAGAGCATTTTTTTATGGGAAGGTCTTTATAACTGACAAGCCACAGAGGAATAAAAAAATGACAAATATGGAAAACTGAGTGATTGCTTTTTCAGTCAGATTATAGGGGGTGAATCAGGGAGCAGGTGAAGATATATCTGAAGATGTAGGAATGAGGAATCTTATGCCTGAAAGGGTTTAAACTTTCTCCTATGGGAAATATTTTAAGCAACAGTATTAACAACCCAAAGAACAGCCCTCTTGCCGTTTTTGACATTGTCATTTTCCCCTTTTTAATATAGGAATTTGAATTTTTTTCCAGAAAGTAGTTTTCTTTTTTAAGAAGACATTTTATTAAAATAGAACCAAAAATTTATTGGCCTAAATAGGAATGAGGATAGATCAGGAAATAGTCAAAGAAAAGCATAGACACACACATATACATAAACACAAATAGATATATAATGAGTTAGGCACATTCATGAACAGCCAGCAACTGATAAAGTCATGGTTCCTCTACTTTTCATTCTAAGTCTATCTTCAGGGCAAAAGTGTCAAAATCTTTCACAATCAATTTAGATTTTTTTTTTTTTTTTTTAAATGAACAGCTATTTAAACAACTTATGTTAGAGGCCAGTGAATATTTTTAGCATCATCTTTCTGGAAAGAAAACATAGTGGTACTACTCTCTTTATAATTACTTCATGAATGGTATATTATTTGTGGGATTAGCTCAGACTTTCTAAAATAGCATGGCACACAAATAGTGCACTTTGGGTTTCTGTTTGAATTGAGTGCTGTGTGGTCCCACACACAGCCCAGATCATCGGCAACTAATCCTCCTGTCTCCCAGAGAACAGAATTCTCATTGTTGTGGTTCTTCACTGGAAACAGCTGGGCCACCTTTCTTGGGTTAGCTGGCAGGATGGGCAGCTGCATTCCCCAAATCACACAAATCACCAGCCAGGCTTATTTTGATTGCTAACTTCTGCTACATAAAGATATTTTTTAAAAACTATTTTTCTTCTATTTTCCATCCATTTATGTCCATGCATTGCCTCACAGAAAAATGTTTGGGTTGTGGGCTCTCCATTTCCATTGCAAAAATTCAAGCAGTTCCCAAGTCTGGAAAAAATTACTCTCTGTGTTTTTTTTTTTTTTTTTGCTACAGACTGGAACAGGTAAAAAAAATAAAGTATTATTTATTTTTTCCCTTTGTCCATTGTCTTCTTAGTCCTGCCTGGAACAGTTTCAGCATTTTCAACATGTATTTCAACATAACCCTTGAAAGTATATAATGTGAATTTGGGGCAGTTTGGGGCATAGGAAAATGTGTTCTTTGCTATTTTCCCCTGTGAAGCTGGTGAATTATCTTCTTAAGGATAAGAACATGATCATGATAGGAAGAGATCCAAAATTGCTAAGGTATTTTATACACAGCATGATACTGTCAATCAATGTACTGACTGGTTTAGTGGGTGCAATACAGAGTATATTTATTCACGTAGAAAAATATCCAAGACACATAATAGTCAAAATTAATAAAGACAAAGATAAAAATCTTGAAAACCATAGAAACAAAAACTCACCTCAAACTCAAACCAAACTCACTGCTGTGGAGTCAGATCCAATTCATAGCAACCCCTCCTTGGGTTTCTGAGGCAGTACCATGACAGAAGCAGATTGCCTAACTTTCCTTCTGAGGAGTGGCTGGTGGGTTTGACCACCATCCTTCTGGTTAGAAGTCACATGCCTTAGGCACTATGCCGCCAGAGCTCCCAAAAACCCACCTGGAGTGGAAAAACAATTTGAATGACAAAGGATTTCTCATCAGAAACTGTGAAAAAAAGATGTGGCATAAATTTTTTCAGGTGCTGAAAAGTAACTGCTATCTACACAGAATTTTATGCCCAGGACAGTATTCTTCAGAAATGAAGAAGAAATCAAGGCATTATCACATGAAATAAAATGAAGAGAATTTATTGCCTGCTGGCTCTAAGGGAATGGCTGAAGAACTCTAAAAAGAAATGAAATGATAAAAGAAAGAATCTTGTAAAACAAGATTATAAAAGAAGAAAATTAAAGACTAATATACCTCATGATTATAGATGTAAAAGTCCTTAACAAAATATTAGCTAAATGAATTCAGCAACATATAAAAAGGATTATATACCATGATCAAGTAAGGTTGATTTCAGGGAAGCAAGACTTGTTCAAAATTCAAAAGAATCAATGTAATCTATTATATTAACAGGAATATATACCTTCACAAAAAAAACCCTGCAAATGATTGTTCATAGTTGATTCATTTGTAATAAAATCAAACTCACTGCCATTGAGTCAA